GTTGAACAGGAGTCATTTCACCAAGGGATATGAAACTGTTTATTGTCTGAATATTTATATAACGGAATAGTTAAGTCTGCAGTACTATTAAGTACGTTGACAAAAAATCATAGTTATTATTTGGAGAAGAAGCTAAGAGGATTTCTAGTCTATTATGGTAGCTATTCCAATCGGCTTTCGAAAGATTTCTTTTCATAAATTTTGGAGAATAGGTATCTGGAAAACTTCCTATTTTACAGAGTATTGGGAAATGGTCACTAGACCCAGGATCAACAATGGTCTGCCATGTACTTATAGACACTAGATTTTTTGAAACTAAGGTTAAGTCAACAACTGACTTACTTTGACTTGGAGGGGACAAACGGGTGGGTGAACCATCATTTAAGAAAACCGTGTCTAACAGGTCTAATGTTTGAAATATATGCCTCCCATGTACACTGTTAAAAGAACTACCCCAAGCTTCATGATTACAATAATTTATATCTCCCATTAAAATTAAAGGCTTGTTGAATGATTCTATAAACTTAAACCAATTTTGTTTATCTATAAGGTTAGCTTGATGGCTATATATATTAATTAAATTTAGCTTAAATTGCGGTAAGTACACCCCTATATATTGAACATTATGATCCAAGTTGGACTTATACGGTAGCAGATGGTAATTAATATTGTATTTAATGAGGGTGGCTATACCACCATACCAATCAGTTCTATCCTTTCTAATCACCTGATAACCTCTACATCTAATAATATGAGATTCCTTTAACCAAGTTTCATTTAATAAAATAATATCTTTAACTAAAATTTTTAAATTATCTACATTAGTATTATATGATCTAATATTCCACTGTATAATAGTTAATGCAGTAAATCTTAAATTCATGTAAGAATTTATTTTTCAGAGGAGTTAGCAATCCTACTCGATGTCAGATACTTTCATATCTTTTTCTTCGTAATCATGTATTGATTGAGGAGAGTTATTTAATTGTGAATTGATTGTTTGTGAAGAATTGGAAATGTGATACATTGTTGTTTGGTATGGTATATAAAGCATTAATAAGGTTACCTATAAATGTCATGACAAGCTCTCTGTGTTCATTAGAGAGGATAGATATAGCTTTTGTTAAGTCTAAATTGATATTATTTTCTTCTTCCATACGGATACTTTTAAATGTCGAAGGGAATGATTGTATTCTACCTGTAGGACTGTTTAGACAATTATTATGTGCCTTTTGATCAAAGCCAATTGAGGGTCTTCTTCTCTTCATACCTGGGACTTTCAAAGATTGACTATAAGAAGCCACTTTCGTAGAACTGTTAATGGTAGTTGTTCTTCTTTGAGAAACGGCAATATTATTTGACTCGATATTATTCAGAGCTGGGAATTGACTGAGATCTGGATTAAAAGAATCTGTCTGGTTTCTTGGAATTTGTTGATTAGCTTCATAATAAGAAATATTTGAAACAGACATTAAATGTTTAATTTCTTTTTAATTCTATACATTAATGTAATAAATGTGGTAAATCCCACGATGTAAATAATACATGCAATCTATTTTGTATTCATTGTAAAAATTCAGACCACTCTTCAACTGATAAAAATCAGTTGAAGAGTGGTCTGAATTTTTACAATGAATACAAAATAGATTGCATGTATTATTTACATCGTGGGATTTACCACATTTATTACATTTTTCATTACTTCTGCACTGCTTTTAAGAATGACCATACAGCAAACATTATTGACATTGCAGAACGGGCTTACATAAGGGATAACTTTCATTGGCAAACCGTAAATCAATATTTCTCTAGGGAGATTTTTCCCGGAAAAGGTAAAACTAACTGTACCTGTGGGTATATAAACTGGATCTTCGCCTTGTTTATCTTCTTTCCTATTCATTCGTTTCACGTAAAGGACTTGCAAAAGGCTAGGTTGGTATCAGAGAACTCTTTGATATCATTATCAGTTAAAGATTTACAGACATCTCTAACAATTCCTTTGCACGTTACATGATGAAGAGAAACAAAAACTTCATAATCTAAGGATTCCCATTTTTTATCATCAATAAAAATATTTGCAGATTTATAATCAGCAAAAAACACGCCCAATCTGTTTTTTCCCTTTCGGTTAACCTTTACAATTTGTTTAATATTAAGGTTGAATATTGATTTAGCAATACTCAAAATGTGAAGATTGCCTACATTTTTTTGTTTCCCTTGTAGATAAACTTCATAGGGGCCTGAATCTGAGGCAGAATAAAATCTTTTTTCTTTTATTCTTGTTTTAATAATTTCACCAGCATTTTTATCTGGTGGTTCAGGAGGCTTATGATCTCCCATTTTGATCGGGAGAAATCCTAAACTTCTTTGGTTCAACTGCAATTCAGGTGGATGTGTAGCACTGCGGTTTCTAAGAGGACAGAAGGGGATAAAAATCCCTTACCAATTTTCCAATTTAAAACTGATACGTTCAGGAGAACGGTGTTCACCAGGTGATTAACAAACAAAATTCCTTTTAAAATCGAACAAATATTTATCAGGAAAACACTTAGAAAATACTTAATTAACAACCTTAGATTGACAATCTACTGTTTTATTTAATTTTCAGTACTTATTTTTAGAATGTAAATGCCAAATATGTTATTCAGTGTCCTTTTTCAAAATGTAGTCAGAAAATTATTCGTTTTTTTTAGCCTGTTTGATACAGATAAAAGTTTGTGGGTCATTGATTTTTAATTTATTAATATTTTGCAGTTGGATTTAAATAAACTAGAAAGTTGGTGCTCTAGTAATGACATGGATCTAAATACTAACAAATGTCACATTATCCGATTTTGTCGCAGCCATAATTTAATAACTTATAATTATAGTTTATTTCAACATGTTTTGGACCCTGTCGATCAAATCAAGGATCTAGGGATCACCTTTGACTCTTCCATGAGCTTTAATGGTCATATCTCTGCTACAGTTCAAAAATCAATGAAAATGCTGGGCTTTGTAAAGAGGACAACTCAAGACTTCACTAATATAAACACAATTAAAATGCTATACTTCTGTTTAGTTAGGACACAACTTGATTATTGCTCCTCAGTCTGGTTCCCACACTACTTAATTCATAAAAGTAAACTGGATGGAGTTCAAAATAATTTTCTTAGATACATAGCATTCAAGTTTAACATTTATTACAATTATGCGGAATTGCAACAATATTTAAACATACCTTCTCTGGAAGTTCGTAGGAAACGAAAAGATCTTACCATACTGTCCAATATTATCAATGGCAGGTGTAATTGCCCCGACCTCCTTTCCAGAATTAATCTTTTTGTGCCGTCACGTACTACTAGACAAATTCAAACATTCCATGTACCTTTTCACCGTTACAATTATGCATTTAATACTTTTATTCCTAGAACACTTAGACTAGCTAACTCTCTTCATGATATTCGACTTTTTAACAGTTCTGTTCAAGGATTTAAGAACCACTTACTTACATTGAATATTTGAACGTCTCAAGCAATTCCATAAATTTCATTTAACACATTATAATTTATTTGCTGTTCTGTACATTAATGTCCACTGTTTTATCTAACCATTTTATTCTATATTTTAGTTAATTTTTATGATATCACTATTCTATTTTATTGTATTTTTTATTTTATATTGTATTTTATTGTATGTAAACTGAATTGGGCTTTGCCCGTAAATAAATAAATAAATAAATAAATAAATATTGAAGTTCTCTCTAGCTGAAAAATATATTTCAAGTCTAGGTACTATTTCTCCTATTTTGACAAATCTTGTCGATCATTTTTATAAGGTAGATAAGTTTTCTATATGTGGATTTTTATTCATTTATGCATTTTGAAATTATTAATTCTTATTTTTTATTGTAATCTAGATTCGTTTATAAAAATTATTGCTTTCTTCTGTATTTTCTAGGGCCTCTTATACAGCCAGTAATAGTGGGTTTTCTTTCCGAAAAGTGCACTTGACGATGTATGTGGGCCTTTGCCCATGTTCTTCGGGACTTCATTTCTATAGTCCTTTTTTTGTCAGACAGACCTATCGGTGGTTGCAAGTGGTCTTTAGACTCCCTGGTTTTTACATTTGAAGATTTTAGAATAATCATGACAGTTTAAGTCTTTCTATACAGAGTGAGCGATTGTTTATTTTCACAACCACTCCGAGTATATAACAGTCACCGACAGTCTTAATATATTATGTAAGTATGTATTGGCATCAAAGAATCAATAATGGCAAACTTTAGATGATTATCAGAAACGATATATTGCCAATAAGAAATCGAAAAGGTGGAACAAAAACCAACAACGATTTGGCTAGACAATCACTTATAAATAATACAATAGTCGAAAGAAGAATACCAAGCTAAAAAATACATGAACTTTCTGAAGGTTACACTGAAAAATTAATGAAACAATCGATGTACCAAATAAAATTTTATCAATACCAGACAAGAATATTTGAACCCATTTTAAAGTCTTATTAATATAAATGTAAGTCTAGTGACAATTCGACATTCTCAAAAACGTACAAAAATATTTTACTTAAAATTTCGATGGTATATTATTATTGTCAAAAATGGTCGCCAATTAAAAGCTTACGCCAAAAATTTAAAAGAAAACTATAAATTTAAAAGTTCACAAAAAATATTTTAAAAAATTTGTCAAACAGAAAGATAAATTAGAAGATGTTTGTAGCAAGTCAAAATAGTAAAAATAATAAGGTAAAAATTTATAGACGGTAAAAATTTATATATATGAAGTACGATAATTTAAAAATGTTGAGATTTGATAGATATCAAATAACTGTTTTTTTTTTATTCATAAAAATTATTATTTTATCAATCAATTTTCAAATCCGATCAAACAGGTTCATTAAAATTAATTTTCGATACGCCACTGTGTTGTTTTATAATTGAATCATAATTTTGCCAAAAAAAATAAAACAATAATATTAAATAAATATATTTGTTTTCTTACCTTTCACTCGCAATTGAAGAATTCCTAGACATTGACTTGGGGGACATTTCGAAATCGCTATCAGATCTGTACAAGAAGCTCTCCCTCCTTTGGGGGAGATTTTGGAGGACCAGGCCGGCCGACGGCGATGCCGCTCCATCCAAGGGACTTCTACCGGGACTGGCGCCATTTTCAACATCGAAACTGCAATAAATACAAAATCACATTAATTAAATATTATACTTTTTTTACACCTCTTACTTCAATTAAAAAAGCGATGTTTGTCACTATATAGTGAGATAAAATTAATAACGTTAACACTCCAATATAATAATTAATAAGGGTTATTCGTGAATTGTTTATATACATTTATACAGAAAACGCTAAATATAGGGGTCTTGACGTGAATCATCCAAGGGGTATGTCTTGAAAATATCCTATTTGTTTTTATTTCTCAAAGAAGGTAGTTCTTAATATAAATATTCTTCTTTTGACCCAAGAAAATGGGTTAAAATAATAATAATAAATGGTATTGTATGTGTTTATATTTTATTTATTCTTTATTTGATACTAGAATAATAAAATGGAAATTCAAAATTTAAACATAATAAAAAAAATATTCCTCTAATTTGAGATAAAATAGCTGGACATTATTTTCAGCTCCCTAGGTCGACCGAAAAAGGGCGTAATTGTATTCTTAAATCTCAAAATTGAATTTTTTCTCTAAAATACATAAGTATGTATCGATAATATCATAACTGTAATCTAGAAAATTTTCTGAATGAAAATGTACTAACACAGATATAATAATAGATGTCAGGTATGAACTACAGTGGTGGGACATGTTAAACATTTATTATAAAAAATACCCACAATTCTAGATTAGCTAAACCCAATTTTCATTAAAATAAAAACCTTTCTAGATCGTTATATTATTCCTATTAATCAATCTGGTTTTTGCCCTAATCACAGTTGCAACACTGCCCTACTCTCAGTCATTGACGATATCATTAGAGCTACTGACCAAAATCAACTCACAGTTTTAGTTTTATTAGACTATATTAAGGCATTTGATAGGCATGCGATACTAATAGGGCTATTACACCATCTGGGATTTAATGAAGATTCGAAACGTCTTTTTTTTGTGTCATCGGCTTCAACTGCTAAGGTTATTTCGCCTCGGGTTCGCCTTATTGCTATCTTAATAATAGAATACAGTATGTCAAATATAAGAATACATTATCTTCTTCACTAAACATAGAAAATGGGGTTCCCCAAGGATTTACCTTTATCTTTCATTCCCTGCGTGTAAATTTAAAGAAAGCATCACTAAAGTAAATTCTGATTTGAATCTACTTTTTAAATTGTCTAATGCCTATTTTTTATACATAAATCCCTTTAAATCTCATGTTATTTTGTTAGGCAGCAAAAAAGATAAAATGAATTATAATGATCAGCTTAGAATTGAAGTCAACAATGAAATATTGCCTAATACAAACATCGCAAAAAACTTGGGTTTATTCCTAGATACCGATCTTCGATTTGAAAAACACATTAATAATGTAATAAAAAAATATGTAACGAATATAAAAATGATTTACACCACTAGATTGTCGTTCTAAAATTGTATTATGTGAAACATTTGTATTTTCTTACTTGAACTTTTGTGCTTCAGTCTATGTACCATGCATTACTCAATTCAATAACTAGCGTCTTCAACGTATTCAAAATACCTGCATTAGATTAATTTATAAAAAAAAAATCAACGAGTTTCTCATAAAAGGAATTAACTAAAATGGTTGACGGTAAAATAAGATCGCTTTTTGCATTATGTTCGCTATTTCAAAAAAATTTATTATTTAAAACGCCTGCATATCTATACAGGGTGTGTATAAAAGGTCTTTACAAAAACATACCACATATTCCTTAGACCAAAATAAGTCGATTTAAGTAAAATTACCTTAGTACAAAGTTGCTTCGTTTGGGCTCCAGAGGGCCTTGAAGTTACAATTTTTAAATCGTTTTTTCCATATAAATTTAAAACGGCATATGCGATTTTGCTGAAATTTGGTATATTGGTAGAGTTTTATGTGGCAAAAAAATGGTATTAAAATTTTGTCCGATAATAATACATAGGCGTAGAACTTAATTTTTTAAATAATTACACTTTTAAAAATTATACGCCAATGAAAGAAAAGGAGTTTGAGTATGAAATTTAGATTGCGCAACTCATTTACTTTATAAAAGGTACTCTTGATAAGACTCGATTACTCTCATGGTTTTGACGAAATTTGCATTTTAGTAGTTTTAGAACATAAACAATAATTATTAAAATACAAACTTTGTCAAAACCATGAGAGTAAATCGAGTGTTATCAAGGGTACTTTTTTGTAGTAAATGAGTACCCAATCCAAATTTCATACTCAAACCCCTTTTTTGCCATTGGCGTAGAATTTTTAAAGGTGCAATTATTTAAAAAATCAAGTTCTACGCCTATGTATTATTATCGGACAAAATTTTATACGATGAAAAACATAAAAATGTACTTTTTTCGTATCTTCTTCAACACCTCTAATCGAGACTTTTAACAAAAATACTCGATTCTTGCCATGTACGATTTTTTGAGGAATATTAATTATTTGCCTGCAATACGTATACAAAAACATTTATTGTTGGTTTCCATAGTTTCATCTAAATAAAAATATTGTCAAGTTTTAACACCTAATCTCTTGTTAACGATTGAAAGTGTTATATCTGACTCAACAATTAAAAAAACAAATGCGTGGTTTATTAATATGGCTGTACAATATACCAATGCAGAATATACCGATATGTTACTGACATTAAGATTTTGTGAAGGAAATGCTCGAGAGAGTGTCAGGGTGTACTCTGAAAGGTTTCCAAATCGTCGTGTACCTAGCCACCCAACTTTTGCTGCTGTTGAGAGACGTCTTCGGGAGACCGGTTCCTTTGCTCCCAACACTGTTGATAATGTTGTTGTTGTGTTGTGTGAGAGATATGGCTTCGGACGGTGTCCATTTGCCACAGAATGTTTAAATAATAGAAACGGAACTGTTGATAATGGAAGAGAACGTTTTGTAAGGATTCCTGAAGTTGAAGAAGACATTTTAGAACGTGTTGAAGAAGATCCAGAATTAAGCACCAGACGAACTGGAAGGGAACTAGGAGTAAGTAAAGATGTCGTTCATAAAGTGCTTAGAGAACAATTGCTATATCCATACCATAAGAAGCCAGTACAAGAATTATTAGTCCATGATCCTCAAATTCGTTTGGGTTTTTGTCGATTTGTTAATATGCAAAGAGAAAGAGATCCAAACTTTGTCAAGAAGGTTCTCTTTACCGATGAAGCGGGTTTTACAAGAAGAGGTATAACTAATACCCATAATGAAGATGTTTATGCCGTTGAAAATCCGCATGCAATAAAGGTAAACCATTTTCAGCACGAATTCAAAATTAATGTGTGGGCTGGAATAATTGGTAATTGCATTGTTGGTCCTGTCATACGTCCACGAAGATTACCTGGAGAAAATTATTTGGATTTTCTACAAAATACGTTGCCAGAATTGTTAGAAGATTTACCTCTCCAACTTCGGAGACATATGTGATTTATGCAAGATGGAGCTCCACCACATTTTTCTTTAAACGTTAGAAACCACTTGAGTGAACAATATCCACACAAATGGATAGGCAGAGGTAATGACGCCCCTGTAAACTGGCCACCACGTTCCCCAGACCTAACACCGATGGATTACTTTTTATGGGGACATCTGAAATCCACAGTTTACAGGGAACCTGTAGAAAATGAGGAACAACTCTGGCAACGTATTCAAGATGCAATAAACAATCTTAGAGGTGATGAAGAAGTTATGGAAAGGATACATTTTAATTTTCTTCGACGTATAAATCTTTGTATGCGTGAAAATGGTGAACATTTTGAACAATTTTTGTAAAATCTCTATTTTGATTATGTTGTAAATAAATATTTTTGTGAAACCTATACACTCTAAATTATTAAAACAGAAATTTAGCGAAAACCATGAGAGTAATCAAGTCTTATCAAGAGTACCTTTTTTAAAGTAAATGAGTTGCGCAATCTAAATTTCATACTCAAACTCCTTTTTTTCCATTGGCGTAGAATTTTTAAAGGTGCAATTATTTAAAAAATCAAGTTCTACGCCTATGTATTATTATCGGACAAAATTTTAATACCATTTTTTTGCCAAATAAAACTCTACCAATATACCAAATTTCAGCAAAATCGCATATGCAGTTTTAAATTTATATGGGAAAAACGATTTAAAAATTGTAACTTAAATCGACTTATTTTGGTCTAAGGAATATGTGGTATCTTGTAAAGACCTGTTACAGACACCCTGTATAACGATGTACATAATCTTAATATCCGTAGAAGAAATTTTGTATCAATCCCACAACACAAGACTAAAATGTTTGAAACCTTTTTTACTTACGTATTTTATAAAATAATTAACCTTCTCCCCCCTGAACTTAAACACGTGTCTGTAAGTGCATTAAAGCGTAAAATAAAATGTTATATATTAAATGGTGAGATAGTAGTATTATTTAACATTTAAAATTTATCAAAAAATATTTTCGTTGATGCTTCGCATAAATTGACTAGGTATTGTATTATTATTAGATGTTAGATACTATTTAACCGTTAATTAATTTGGGTTTTCTCTCTTTTTGAGAGATTTTTTACTATAATCTTGGTAATTTTCTTCTTTCATATTTTTGTGAGGTTTTTATTGTATTATTAATTTTTTATATATATTATATTCTTGATATTTTCTACAATATATTGTTATGTATTAAACTATTGGCTTACTGAATAAACGTTATTATTATTATTATTATTATTATCATTAGTATAATTCACATTTTTTGTATTCGTAAAAATTAAAGTAAAAAATATTTTATGATCAATAGATATGTAAGTACCACACTGTCTTAAATTATTTTTATATACATCATCGATTGATGTCTCTTTTCAAAAAAGCGAACCATTTTAATTGACATTCGTCCTTTTGACACACACAGTCAAAAAAAAATCCTTCACCTTCAAAGGAACACGAGAATATTTCTCGGCTTCGCTTTTTTTATTTTCTTATTTACTTCTATATATTTCTGATGCTTTCTATCCGGTAATTGACCAATTACGATTT